GCAGGTACGTGAGCCAGGCGTCCCCAGCTCATATCAGTGATCTGTAACAGCCTCTTCGTTGGACTGCCACAGTTACACACCAGGCAGTCCCCCTGCACTCTTGAGATCGACAATTCCTCTTTGGCAACAGAGTTCCACACACACAAGAAGCCAACAATGGCAAAAAGGCGAGCTGGGTTGCGAGAATTTCAGGCACCCGGCTAAAATCCGAAAAGCAATATACTAGTGTTAAGGCCGGTATTCCAACCGATGTTGGTTTGCATCTGCTGAAAACTCAGACCAGTGAAACTTCAGCGGTATGTCACTTCGGAGAGTGTCGACCTTCGCAAAGAAAGGTTGATGCTGGCCATTCTGGGACAGCTTGAAGGCCCGCTTGTAGAGGCCGAAGCGGCTATGACTGAGTCGCACGGAAATGGCCTCTTTAAGGTCATCGATTACACCATTGGTCGGAACTTCAAAGGCTGCAGCAGTGCAGCCATATCCCAATCCTTCTGGAGGAAGGTCCTCAACTCAAAACTTGCGAAGCTGCTGGGCAGGAGGTGTGCGCTTAGCACCAGGGAGGTGCTCCGAAGAATCTCCTTGACTGCCAGATCCGGGGAGTGACATCTCGGTCGCGTCCCGCTTCATGGCTGGAAATCTAGGTGCACAAACAAAAACAAGCTGCGAGAAAACGGCATTAAAAGGCATTGAAACAGACTGGCAGTTGAGACACTCGAAGAATGCGGGGAGGCTACTTTTGTAGTCAAAAAGCCTTTGGTATCACTCAACTGCACAACTCAGAAATCCAGGAGAGCTCGCAGGTTCTGACTCTTCAGATGAGTTAAAAGTGATTGTCAAAGCGACTGATTTCCAGGCCTTTATCGACGAATTTCAGCCATTCGAAGTTTGCATTCAGCATATTGCTGAAACGTGGCATCTGCCGAACATTAATTGCTGGTATATGCTGAAAAACCTGGTTCGCGGGCTTTACCCACAAACGGGATATAGCAGCCAATCGAAGAAGAGCTGCTAGGTCCAAATGACCGGTATACAGAAAGACACACCAGCTAATGTTGTTGGACTTGGTGGTCACATGCCACGGCAGCAAATGAGCGGTGCCGAATCTTCTGAGAAAGGCTTGAGTCCTGCGAACTTCGACAACTTCGATGTCCCAATTGGGCCGGCGGGCTCTTATAGAAGAATCTGTGAGATGCGTGACACAGATATGTATCTCGATGACTGTCACGTAGCTGGCGATGATGGCCAGAGAATCAAGTGGCAGTCGAGAAATCATGATGCTGTCAGGTGATAATCTAAGGAAAAGCTGGACTCAGCTGGGAGCCAAAAGTCTGGACACTGGAGAAGGAACTGAGAGTTGTGAAGATCCAGTGTTACACGCAGACTGTCTAAACGGTCTTGCGCGAAAGAATCCGATCGACAATCGAATTGCAGTTGGCTCGATTGCTTCGTTTTACTTTGGGGAGAGTCTGAACAAACTCAAGCATGAACTTAGCTCGTCTTGTGCGACAGACATCCCAGCACAAGACAATGCGGGTTCCTGCAGCAGTAATGCTGTACACTCGAGAAATGATCACGAAACTGTTGCTGAGCACAAGAATGTGCATGCGCGGCTTTGCTACGGGTAGCAAAAACAATGGCTCCGTCCGTAGAGTCCAGAAGTGGTGCCTGTACCAGCACTTTATTGCGTCAAAGTCCATGCCTGTGTAGATTGTACACAGCTTTTTCGGTATGAAGGCTGCGATCCTTGGAGGGAGTCACAGGAATTGTGCTGTACGTGATCATCAGAAACAGTAGAAGACGAGTTGGACGATGCCATGGACGAACTAGACGAACTGGCATCAGCAGAATCACTGGATGAAGACGAAGATGAAGAGGAAGAGGACGACAGCATCTTGCGCCGTCTGACATGGCTGCGTTTCGCCATGGCAAAAGATTTCCTCAACTATGAAAAGCAACTGAGTGAGGCATGAAACACATTGGCAGAGATCAGCTCAAAACACTGAACTCGCAAACAGATCGAAGCTTCGAATCACCTTGTTTTTTGAACAAGGAGTGCGATGCATCACATGCAAGGAGTTTTCACGAATTAGGCTCGCGCTTAATCTCTGGTCGGCTGATTGGATGGCGTACAGCATCTTCGATGCTCGGCCAGTTGACTCCCCAATCATTGCCGTCCCCCCCGTCAAATGTGACTGCTCTTGGGGTCGAAAATACAGCGTCAGGATTGGTGGCTATCTGAGCACTGTGGGTGCTGGAAAGAACCCAAATCCGGTCAATTCTGCCGGCTGCTTCTCGGATAGCCCAACGTGTGTCACCCGAAGGTGAATGCACCAAGGAGTGAAACTTGCACAAATGGCCCTCGTGGACCGTGCTGGAGGACTTGCTTTTATGGTGGACAGTTCCGAGGAACCCTCCGACCACTACTCCTGCACTGTTTTTTGTGCTATGATGCAACTTGGAAACAATTCCAATTTGGACGGCTCGTAATGTGCGTCCTGTGAAGCTTTGCCGTAAAACGGCAAAACCTCGTCTGATTAGGACGATCCTACAGCCTCGAGGCTTGACCTAAGCACCCTTCCCAGCGTCAGGATACCGACAAGGCCTTCGGCCGTCGTCCCATGCCCCCAGAGGTAGTAGCGATTCGCCTGTTCCTCCGGTCCAGGCATGTGGGCTACCGGAAGCTCCCACACATGCAATGCCTCTTGAGGCATCGCTTAAGCTTTAGCATCATGCTTGAAAATTTCCCGGTAGGGGATCTTGCTTGCCAGGACAGCTCTGGCTAGTGTGACAATCTCACGTTGGCCGATAGGAATTACCGGCAGAAACGGCTGCTCGGCTGGACCAAAACGGGACAGCAACAGTCGCAGCACTTCCTCAACATCCTGTTTCAGGATCTGAGCAACTGGCACAGACATCTGTCTTGTCCATGCCACACGATGAGCGTAGCGGCGCATTGTACTATGCGGTATAATGGGCCACTTATGCAGCTTGTGAACTGTTAAATAATTTTCGTGATAATGCAACACAAAGAACATATATGCAAGAAGGGGGGTCATTGTCATGCCTTCTTCATAGTAATCCACAGCGTTTCGGCCTTTGGCCCGCCGTGCGATTTGTTCCAGCAGCTGTTCGTAAGTGCTGCGATGTGTTGCTTGAAACATCTGTTCATCGTCCACCGAAGTCACCAACTTCGGAGGACCCTTTGCGCCCGGATTCTTGGGTGGTGTGGTCTTTTGAAAATCGGCAACCGAGGCGCTGGCGGGCGCAGGGGGCTGACTACTGCTTGCCGCTGGAGCAGAGGCCCGAAACATATCAGCTGCTTTCTGCAACGGGTCATCCGCTTGTGACCGAGCAGGCGGCGGTTGGCTCCTGGGTCTAGTGGGCCTTTGGCCCGAGGTTGGCACGAACTGTGGGTTCCATTCTCCTGGAGGTCGCTCAGGACTAGCAGCCAAGGGACGAACTGGAGCAGGCGGCGACACACTTGCCGCTCTGATCCTAGGACTCAAACTCGGACGGGGTCGCGGAGGTCACGCCTCGTGGCTCGTCGACCTGTACGGCCGACGAGACTGATGATGATGCCGACGGTGTCGTCGCCTGGATTGGCTGCGGCGAGCTTCTCCTCCTTGAGACTTCGCTCGCGACTGACACGGCGGGGAGAAACCCTAGCTGGTCTGCTAGGAGACAAGTTTTGTATCGGTAACGGAGCACGTGAGGGAGGGTCCAAAGATTCGGATCGTCTGTTATAGCAAATCCCGGAGGGCGGGGAGCTCCGTCACCTTTTGGTCCTGGAGGCCCTCCATAAAAGCGAAAGTGGTACTGCTGGGCCATGGCTCACCAGCAAGATTCGAGCTGCTCTTGAAGGCACGATGGCTTGAGAGTTAGTCAGCTCTACAGGAAAAAACAGTCAAAATGTGTAAAACATCACCACTGTGCTCACGAACGACACATGGTGACACTTAAAGGATGCATACGAACTGAGACATATCTTCTGTTCTCAGCTTCACTGCAAAGCAGTCGCAGGAAAACCTGCCTGTACATATAGTTGCTTGGGCTTTCGAAGCTGTCCTGGAATTGCTTCAGGAGTCCAAGTGTACTGGCGAATAAGGGAAGCACGGGAGACATAACCGGATGTCGCTAATTTCCAGGACCCGGCACTGGCAGGCGACCGTAGTTGCCAAGGCTGCTCTGGCATATTAAAAGTTGCGCTACGAGCAGCTGCATCAATCGTAAATCCGAGCCACTGATGGTCTGACACTGTTTCCAGCCCAATCCCTTGGTAAAAATCGGGATCGCAGAAGCGTTGCATCTGCTGGGAGTGCGTTGTGGCTTTGGGCCCGAGTATCAGGCGATTGTCAACGTATCGAAGAAACAACAGCAAAGAAGACAATTCTGCGGGTAGAGACGAAAGAAATGTCTCTCTGCAATCAAAACCGGAAGGCCGGACAAGATGGGAGACACTTGGTTCCCAATACATGTCCCTTCGACTTGCAGCCTGCATTTTCCGGCTGCGGTAAATACCCCGGTAGAGAATGACAATTCCACTATGGAAGGCAAGTCCTGAATCCAGACTCGTTTGAGGGCAGGGTAGATTTAGTCTTCCCTCGAGGCTGGCCAGGATGGCCAGATTTGGAAAACAAATCGAGAGCAAGTACAGAATGGCCAGTGAGTTTGCTATACTCTTTGACGATGTAGTGTACAGATCTCAAGATGTCAGCGCGAGGCACTGCCTTTGTTCAAGCCTGCGGCGCTTAGCTCTGATTAAAAACTTAGGCCATATTAGGCCAGGCTTTCCCAGAAAGCTTGGATTCAAAACTTGGCCGTTGAGGCCTTAAGCAAACAAAGGCTCCTGGCTCTTTGGAGTTGACCTTGGGCCTTAAGCTGGGAGACTTGAATTATAAGGCTTCGTCTAGAGCTTGCAAGCCTGACACTCTGATTCTAGGCTTGGTAGGCTTCCAGCCTTTAAACTGCAGCAGGCTTTCAGCCGAAGAACTTTTTTTTGTTCAAAGCTGCGGTGCTTAGCTCTGATTCAAAACTGGGCCATATTATGCCAGCCTTTCCCAGAAAGCTTGGATTCAAAACTTGGCCGTTGAGGCCTTAACCAAAGAAAGGCTCCTGTGGCTACTTGGAGTTGGGCCCTGGGAGACCTGAAACCTTGGGCACTGGCGGCGAACATGACTGCAAGCCGTCTCTGGCTCGTGGGTTTTGCTGCAGGATCCGCTTTTGAAGCGGAGACAAGAAATCCCAAACCGGCCAGAAGGTACCCTGGCGGAGAATGATCTTCAGCCTCTTGGGAGGGATCGTGAAAACTGTCGGGTTCCTCTGGCCAGTTTTTCATGGCCTCTTCAAAATCCCTCTGACTGACCGGAGGGTCCTGGAAGGCGAAGGCCAACGTTTCCTGGCTCGGGCTCACATCCTCCTGGCTCACATCCTCCTGGCGCTGGCTTGGTACCTGAAGCCTGCAGCTCACATCCTCCTGGCTGTGGCTTGGTACCTGAAGCCATGGCTTGGAAGAAAGATCCACAGCAGCCTCGCGCCCCAACTCCACTTCTGCCAGCTTGGTCCTGGGCTTCAGGGATGCAGGAGCTTAATCTTGGCCCTGCTCTGTAGCTGGCTGGCGTGTGCGGCACATCCGGCCAAGGGAAACGAAAAACGTTTTCGTGTCCCTTGGCCAAATGTGCCGCCCACCCCTAGCCGCCGGCTGGCCCCAGTACGTCTTGACCTGCTGTCACCATGTCGGTGGGGAGGTTCTACCTCCCCATTGACATGGTGACTGCAGATCACCATGTGGACGGGGAGGTGGTCATCCGACGTGTACGACGTCGGATAACCACTTCCCCATTTACATGGTGGCTTGTTTCTGCAGTAACCAAAACAATAAATAATGCCAAGTC